GGGGACTTCAATCTCCACACCGAGATGGTTTTGACTGGGGCAGCTCAGGACTTCATGGCCTCCATGGTGGCCATGGGGCTGTCTCAACATGTCATTGGCCCGACCCATGAACGTGGACACACTCTGGACCTGGTTTTCTCAACTGGGCAGGAAGAGGGGAATCTGAGGGTGAGGAACTTGTGTCTGACACCCCTGTCATGGTCAGATCACTTCCTCGTGAGGTTTGAGCTCGAGAGCGGTCTTTCCCTCTGTAAGGGTGCAGACCCGATTGCGCTGGTCCGCCCCCGGAGCCGGATGAATCTGGATGGATTCCTGAAGGCCCTGGGGGATTTCCCAGTTGATAAGGCTGATGCTCCTGTCGATGCCTTGGTTGAACTGTGGAATGGGGAAATGACCAGGGCTATTGACACGATTGCTCCTAAGCATCCTCTCTCACCTGGCAGAGCCCGTTCATCCCCCTGGTATACACCTGAATTACAGCCGATGAAGCAGGTTGGGAGATGTCTAGAGCGTAGGTGGAGGAAATCATGGGATGAATCTGACCGAACACACTTAAGAGCCCATTATCGGGCCTATGCTGTGGTGGTGAGGGCGGCGAAAAAGAAATTCTTTTCCGCTTCCATTGCCTCCTCACAATGCCGTCCGGCGGAGCTCTTTTGGGTGGTACAGGGGCAGATTCATCCGGGCCCCAAGAAAGACCTTGTGCCACCCTCGATGGCCCGCTGTGACAACTTTGCCACACATTTCAAGGAGAAAATTGCTCAGATTCATCACAAGCTGGACTCTATTTATTTATTATTTATTTAGGGAACTTCTATGCTGCCCCATTCGCCGAGGCCTCGGGGCAGCTCACAATCATAAGTAACATAATATAAAACAAAATAAGTTAACAGTATAAATTAAGTCACACTGGCCAAAGAATAAAATAAATAAATATTAACAATTAAAATAATGTTTGAATAAAAAGGTCTCCGCCTGGCGCCAAAAAACAAATAGCGACGGCACCAGGCGGACCTCTCTGGGGAGCACATTCCATAGATTGGGCGCCACCGCAGAGAAAGCCCTCCTCCGAGTACTTACCTTCCTAATTTCCTTCATGGAGGGTTCCCGGAGAAGGGCCTCTCCCGCTGATCTCAAGGGGCGGGCAGGCATATATGGACATAAGCACTCCTTCAGGTAACCAGGTCCCAAGCCGTTAAGGGCTTTATAGGTGATAACCAACACCTTGAATTGGGCCCGGACTTCAATGGGAAGCCAGTGAAGCTGACGGAGAACAGGAGTCATGTGAACATAACGCCCAGTCCCAGTCAGCAGCCTGGCAGCTCTATTTTGAACTAATTGAAGTATCCGGACCATCTTCAAGGGCAGCCCCATGTAGAGCGTGTTACAGAAGTCAAGTCGGGAAGTCACCAACGTGTGTGTCACTGTTGCCAGGTGACTCAGAACCTTCTGGGGAGGTGCCAATGTTGCCGTCTGGTCCAAAATTGATGGATGAGTTTCAGTTGTTGCAGCCTGATGATGTGGACAAGATGCTTGAACAAGTACATCCTACCACCTGCTTACTGGACCCTTGCCCATCTTGGCTACTTGAGAAAGCCAAGGACGGGATAGGGACTTGGATCCTGGAGGTTGTCAACGCCTCTCTAAGGGATGGCCGGGTACCTGCCCCTTTAAAGGAGGTGGTAGTCCAGCTAGTCCTAAAGAAGGCATCCCTGGATCCAGAGATGGCCACCAATTATAGACTGGTGGCCAACATCCCGTGCCTGGGCAAAGTGTTAGAGTGGGTGGTGGCGGGACAACTCCAAGCACTCTTGGATGAAACTGATTATCTGGACCCATTTCAGTCCGGCTTCAGACCCAGGTATGGTACTGAATCTGCCTTGGTCACCCTGTATGATGACCTGTGCAGGGAGAGAGACAGGGGGAGTGCGTCCCTGTTGGTTCTCCTGGACCTCTTGGCGGCTTTCGATACCATCGACCATGGTATCCTTCTGGATAGGCTAGCGGGGTTGGGAGTTGGAGGCACTGCTTCGCAGTGGTTCCACTCCTATCTCAATGGCCAATTCCAGAAGGTGGTGCTGGGGGACTATGGCTCTGCGCCATGGCAGTTATGCCATGGAGTTCTGCAGGGGTCCATTTTGTCCCCCTTGCTATTTAACATCTACATGAAACCGCTGGGAGAGGTCATTAGGAGGTGTGGGCTGCGGAATCATCAGTACACTGATGATACCCAGCTCTACCTCTCGTTTTCAACTAATCCAGGTGAGGCAGTGGCTGTACTGAATTGGTGCCTGGCCGAGGTAATGGGCTGGATGAGGGCCAATAAACTGAAGCTCAATCCAGACAAGATGGAGGTCCTGTTAGTAGGTGGGTCAGGCTTCGGGATGGGGGACCTGGACCTTGTCCTGAATGGGGTTGCACTCCCTCTTAGGGACAGGGTTCGCAGCTTGGGAGTGCTCCTCGACCCTGAGCTGTCTCTAGAAGCTCAGGTGATGGCGGTGGCAAGGAGCGCCTTCCTTCAGCTTCGGCTGATACATCAGCTGCATCCCTTCCTGGAGAACGACTGCCTGGCGACAGTGACACACGCGCTGGTAACTTTCCGATTAGACTTCTGTAACACGCTCTACGTGGGGCTGCCCTTGAAGACGGTCCAGATACTTCAATTAGTGCAAAACAGAGCTGCCAGGTTGCTGACGGGGACTGGGCGTTGTTCTCACTTAACCCCAGTCCTCCGTCAGCTTCACTGGTTTCCCATTGAAGTCCGGGCCCAATTCAAGGCGTTGGTTATCACCTATAAAGCCCTTAACGGCTTGGGACCTGGTTATCTAAAGGAGCGCTTGCGTCCATATATGCCCTCCCACCCCCTGAGATCGGCGGCAGAAGCCCTTCTCCGGGAGCCCTCCGTGAAAGGTATTAGGAGGGTGAGTACCCGGAGGAGGACCTCCTCTGTGGTGGCGCCCCACCTATGGAATGCACTCCCCAGAGAGGTCCACCTGGCACTGTCATTATTTGTTTTTCGGCGCCAGGCCAAGACCTTTTTATTTAAATGCTATTTTAACTGTTAATTGTTGTTTTTATTAATTTATTATACATCTGCCAAGATGTATTCGAATTTTTAAACTTTATTCAATATTTGTTTATTTGCTTTGTAAGCCGCCCCGAGGCTTGTTGCAAAGGGGACAGCATAAAAATGCTTTAAATAAATAAATAAATATTCCAGCTGAGCTATTCAAAATCCTAAAAGACAATGTAGTAAAAGTACTATACTCAATATGCCAGCAAATTTGGAAAACTCAAAAGTGGCCACAGGATTGGAACAGGTCAGTTTACATTCCCATCCCAAAGAAGGGCAATGCCAAAGAATGTTCAAACTACCGCACCATTGCACTCATTTCACATGCTAGCAAAGTTACGCTCAAAATCCTACAAGCTAGGCTCCAGCAGTATGTGGACCGAGAACTACCAGAAGTACAGGCAGGATTTCGAAGAGGCAGAGGAACTAGAGATCAAATTGCCAACATACACTGGATCATGGAGAAAGCTAGGGAGTTCCAGAAAAACATCTACTTCTGCTTCTTGACCCGCATACAGGTTTCTCAAGAGACAAATAAG